AAGAGTGACAGAACTAAACATATCCCGCCAAAGTTATTCTTATATGCGCAAGAGCTTGAACGAAACAAACAAATCAAAGTTCAATACATCCGATCAAGTGATAATGCAGCATATTTGTTTACGAAGGCGCTTCCGACGACAATATTTCGAAAGCACGTGCACAATATTGGGATGAGGCATCTTCGGGATTTGCACGGATGATAATTCTAGGGGGAGTATGTGCAATTGTACTCTTTTTCCCTTATCTAGGTTTTTTCCCACAGGGTTTTTCCAGATAAGGTTTTTAACGAGGCAGCATAAACGCACATTTAATAGTGGTAATTCCAAGGGGGAGTATTGTAAATAGTGGAATCTACCAGTAGTCATTTATATTATTATATTAGAGTGTCTTAAACTGTGTGCCAAACTTAGCCTATAAAAGGCAAGTGATATATTGCAAAGTGATGTACGAAAAAGAAGGAGAAAGAAAGAGAGAAAAGCTTGTAATAATTTTGATCCGATTTTTACGTTGTGTTCTTTATATTCCCCGTATTTCATAACACTTTTCACCTTCTCAAGTTTCTTATTCTCATTTTTCTCACTCTCTCTCTCCCTCTCTCACTCTCTCTCTCTTAAGTTTTGATTATCAAGAATTATTAACTTATTAAGATATAATCACATTTGAATCTGAAACGTATAATTAATTGCGAGTGCGCTAAACTACGTACGAACTTGAATAAGAACTTGAAAAAAGGTCGGAAGAAGAGAACAGTCAGTCATCAGAACTGAAGAGGATGTGATGATGAGTTGAAAGATTTTATTACTACTACTAGAAGTGGTGAAACTGACAACGACAATAACAACGAGGAATAGAATGTTGAATGCACATCATGCCATTATCTTTTATCGTAGTAAGGTAAACAATTAAACAAACTACAGGGACTTCGATTCCTAAGAGTTACATAAACAACTTAGTTAACATAGTACAAGTAAAAATATTATTTTGTATCTTATAATATTTCAACTAAGTGCAATTCCATTTTATTTATTTTCCTCCTATTAAACAATTCATAACTAAACTATTTCTTTTGTAAAAAATAAAATAAAACTTAATGGCGACCAGCCGGGCCAGCTCGCCAATTTTTGGAACCGGTCCTTCCTTCTCCCATGTCGGTTCCGTTACCAAATAAATTGGCCTACCTATTCGTTGGGTCGGGCCTGGAACCGTCAGGCCCAGCGATTTGGTCATGACTAAGGACACACATATTCACGATATTATTGTCAAAATGAAATATTACTCCCTTCTTCCTAAAAGAAATGCCATATTTTCTGGAGTGTTCCGAGAAAAATAGATGATTGTCTAATGTCATAAAAATTGATTGTATTTTGATGGAAGGGTGAGATGAATTGATCATTTTACGATGAAGTATATTTAAATTGTGTGGAAATTGTCTTTGTTAGATATTTTTTGAAAATATGTATTTATGGTTGAAAAAATTATTGAAAGAATTAAAACATTAATAATTTTAGTAATATATAGTAATATAAATATTAGTATAAATTTAATTAAATTGTCGATAGTGTCACCAAGATGATGTTGATGTGGCAAACTTTAACATAAATTTTTACTATTAGCATTGTACTGTTTAACATAAATTTTTACTATTACCATTGTACTGTTTGAGGCTGAAAATTATTATAAACTAGTTTATTTTTTCTAAATTACTTTTACTCATTCTTATTTAATTCATATATTAATTATTATAAACATGTACTTTTTTATTTATAAAATTTTATATCTTTTTTTTTTATTTATGTTTTATTTTTATATATGACATACCAAAATATATATTTTAACGATCTTCTATTTGACTTACCAAGTGCAGACATAAAATAAAAATAAACTCTTACCTATATTTACAAATAAAACTAATTTTATCACCACATCAATTCAAAAAATATCAAATAACAATACAAGTTATTGAAAAAATGATAAAAACATAATTCATCAATACACCATAAAATAATCACTCTAATTTATGTTTTTCATATACTATGGAGACAATTTAGAAATTAAGTATTATAAAAAATAAATATTAAGATATATTATTTCTAAATTAAATGGATTATATAAGTAAATGAATGCTATTGTGTTGTTTACATAATAAATAAAATAGGATATCACAATTAAATATAATAAAATATTATTATATTTCATAAAGTTCGAAAAATATGTTGGTGTGTAAATTTATATTTTAAATTATTGAATTATATGAACTAATATACTTTAAAATTTAATAAACAAGAGATACCGACTCTCAATATATAAAAAAGTTATCACAATATAATAATTTTTTGTTAAAAAATCGAATGAAATATATGAAATTCTAAATATTTTATTTAGATATATACAAATTTAAAAAAAATTAAAAAAAAATATTATTTTTAACAAATTTACTGTAAAATATGGGGCGTCGTTTTGAATTAGTTACACTTTATTCGTTGTTTATTGTTATTGT